TACACTGCCGTTTGGAAGGGCATTATGGTTCATGCCGAACATACCTCTCCCCCCCAGAGGCAGCAGAGACGTGATGATTAGGGGGGGGGGGGAGGGGGGGGGTCTCCGCAAGGACGATAATAATTTCTGAATGCCACGATATGGACGCATCAAAAATACTCAACATACTTGAGCAACGCTGCGCGAGTGCGCGCGCGCGTGTGGGTGCGCGCGTGCGTGTGGGTGCGCGCGTGCGTGCCGTGCAACACGGCTTCGACTCCTGCGCACAGGTAAAGTTCAGTGGGAGGCCACGTCTGGACCTCCCCTAGGTCAATTCGGCCATAACAGAGTGCCGGGGAAGATGAGGGTTGCCAGGCTTGGTTTCAGATTTGAAGCTTTCGTGACTGCAAGGATTCATACTCTTTGGTTTTATTCGGTAAAGTCACGTGACTTTACCGAATAAAAACAAAGAGGAGGCTTGGTTTCCTTGACACATCTGGCCACACCACCACTTTTGAGTGCACCGAGCCGGACCTCAATAGGTGCTGGCCGTCAGCACTTGCCCCCAACAGTCTGTAAGGCTGCATGGTGAATGTTTGCGGTCTTATCGGTCTGCGTGCAGTGGTGGGGCAACGAGTGGAGCGCAGGTGGTGGATTGTGCCACTCATCTCAGTCACTTAACCCCATGGGCGGAGTTTGGGGGAGGAGGGGGTACGGGGGGGGGGGCAACGTTCCCCCAAACTGAACACCTTCATGACTTTACTTTCAGTATTCTTTGGTTCTTTCGGTAAAGTCACGTAGAATGAGAATAAAATAATAAATTGATAAAATAAAATAACAATAATATTCTCACGACGTTTCGGCCACAACACAAGCGGCCTTCATCAGGTGAAGGGACGAGACTGTCTGGTAGGACAGCGCTGGAGTGAAAGAGCCACGTTCAGATCACGACCTTTAAGCGGTGTGAAATGAAACAAAGCGCCTTGACAAAGGAATTAGCATATAATTTAGCATTGAAATGGCTGAGTGATTAGCTTGTGACTGGTCACAGAAATAGCTATGTTAAAAGTTAAAGCATACACATCCGCAGAGACACCCCTTGACAATGGAATTAGCATAGAATTTAGCATTGAAATAGCTAAGTTAAAGCATACACATCCGCAGAGGTACCCTTGACAAAGGAATTAGCATAGAATTTAGCATTGAAATAGCTGAGTGATTAGCTTGTAACTGGTCACAGAAATAGCTACGTTGAAGTCAGAGCATACACATTCACCGAGGCACTTAGTACAAATCAAACAAGAGAATTTAGCATTGAAATAACTAGGCGAATTTAGCATTGAAATAACTGAGTGAGCTAGTGACTGGTCACAGAAATGACTATGTTGAAGTCAAGGCCTACACATCTGAGCTATTCACAGTACTATATAGTGAACCAATAAAAAACGAAAATATAAATTACCTTAATGTTATTAATAAACTCTATATTCTCCAATCAGCTAAGCTACCAACAATAAGTCGTTATATATCACAATGCTATATGGCGAAAAAAAAATGGGTGGATTCTTACCCTCAACTTTAGTACCACGGATAGCTACGGGCCCCGTTCAGACGGACGAGTTCATCCATGGTCGGAACAGAGGGGGAGAGAGACAGCTGCGAGGCGCTATTATACTCCATGTTGTAAACCATACCATTAACCGTGGTGTGAGAGGTATTAAGAGTCAATGCTGGCGAAAGAGCTGCGGTCTGAAGGTCATCGTAAAATACAATTAATTGAGAACAGAAATGGTTCAACACAGTACATAAAATCCGTGATTTAATTCCATCTGTAAAAGATGCTGTTCCAGACATACAGTACCCGGGCGTTTACAAACTAAAGTGCCTCTGTGGTAGTAGCTACATTGGAGAAACCAAACGACATATCTCGGACCGCATCCGCGAACATAAAGCAGACTTGAAACACGGTAGGACGAACTCCTCTGCCGTGGCAGATCACTGTTATAATTCAGTGGGCTCACATGACATTGACTTCTCCAAGACGGAGGTTATTTGCAAACCAACCGGCTACCATGAGAGATTCGTTCATGAGGCCATTCACATATACAAGCACAGAGACAATTTCAACCGAGAAGATGGATTCTGGCTTAGTAACCATTGGAAAGATGTTTTAAACCATTTCTGTTCTTAATTAATTGTATTTTACGATGACCTTCAGACCGCAGCTCTTTCGCCAGCATTGACTCTTAATACCTCTCACACCACGGTTAATGGTATGGTTTACAACATGGAGTATAATAGCGCCTCGCAGCTGTCTCTCTCCCCCTCCTCTGTTCCGACCATGGATGAACTCGTCCGTCTGAACGGGGCCCGTAGCTATCCGTGGTACTAAAGTTGAGGGTAAGAATCCACCCATTTTTTTTTCGCCATATAGCATTGTGATATATAACGACTTATTGTTGGTAGCTTAGCTGATTGGAGAATATAGAGTTTATTGATAACATTAAGGTAATTTATATTTTAGTTTTTTATTGGTTCACTATATAGTACTGTGAATAGCTCAGATGTGTAGGCCTTGACTTCAACATAGTCATTTCTGTGACCTGTCACTAGCTCACTCAGTTATTTCAATGCTAAATTCGCCTAGTTATTTCAATGCTAAATTCTCCTGTTTGATTTGTACTAAGTGCCTCGGTGAATGTGTATGCTCTGACTTCAACGTAGCTATTTCTGTGACCAGTTAAAAGCTAATCACTCAGCTATTTCAATGCTAAATTCTATGCTAATTCCTTTGTCAAGGGTACCTCTGTGGATGTGTATGCTTTAACTTAGCTATTTCAATGCTAAATGCTATGCTAATTCCATTGTCAAGGGGTGCCTCTGCGGATGTGTATGCTTTAACTTTTAACATAGCTATTTCTGTGACCAGTCACAAGCTAATCACTCAGCCATTTCAATGCTAAATTATATGCTAATTCCTTTGTCAAGGCGCTTTGTTTCCTCTCACACAGCTTAAAGGTCGTGATCTGAACGTGACTCTTTCACTCCAGCGCTGTCCTACCAGACAGTCTCGTCCCTTCACCTGATGAAGGCTGCTTGTGTTGTGGCCGAAACGTCGTGAGAATATTATTGTTATTTTATTTTATCAATTTATTATTTTATTCTCATTCTACGTGACTTTACCGAAAGAACCAAAGAAGATGAATCATTGCAGTCACGAAAGCTTTAAATCGAAATTTACTTTCAGTAGTTAACAATTTAGATGAAATATAAGTAAGTAGATGTATGCTATGCTCCCACGATTCCTGTGAGGGATAAAGCGCAGCCTCGCCCCCCCCCCCCCCTTCCCAAATATAGAAGTCAAAGTCCGCCTATGGTGAACCTGTAACACCTGGGGGTCTTGCCCCGTGACCTCCTTCACCACACTTCGCGTGACATCAAAGTGCACCTAGCCCGGCAGAAGTGCTGTGGCGACATCGCCGTTGTTTGTGCCGAATATTTTGTTTTGCTATTGTCATGTTGGTGGCCCAGGGCCCTCTCTTGCAAACGACTCAACCTGGTCTCTTTGCCAGTGGAATGCGACATCTGAACACGTGACGGCCTCGGTCCTCCCTCGAGATCAACTCGCCGCTAGCAATGAGATGAATCGTCACGATGCAAGACCACGATTCGATTCAAGATTTTGATTGTACATTTTTCGCGTATTTTACAGCGTGGATAAATGTAGCGGCCTCTTGCGGCTCCAGGGGCCAATTTCACTCATGGCGTTCTCTCTATGTGCCATGGCCTTTATGTCCATCATATTATTATTCAATAACTTTGCATTAGATACTCGCAGTTGCATACAAATTGTTGACGAAACTTGATTCAGTCTTCCCCGGCTTCTTGCCACAACCCTATTATTTTCCGAGGTACAACAATATATTCAGTCTCTTGTTTTCTCATTACGTGTCCAAAAAAAATACTAACCCTTCCCTTCTCTAATTATTATGAATCAGGTTCCTTCATGTGCCTGCAATCCGTGATGCATTATGCGACTCAAATCATCTGCATGTCCAATTGAAAACACACACACACACCCATGCGCACACACTCCACCCCCTCTATGCACGACTGTGAACTTAAGAATCAAGATTAACTGATTAATCGATGCGTTTTTACACAACTAATAAAAAGGCTGAAACGTGTTTTTCGGTCAGTTTAACACACACTAGTAGGTTATCGCGACCAATATTATCCATAAGAGGCATTTGGGTTAGATCGCGTCAATGTAAATGTGTCGTTAAACCCGCCACCACCCGACACAGCCAATTAGTAAGGTTTGTCACGTAAACAAAACATGGCAATTCGTTACTAGTACAGCACACCGGTGTGTTGGAGAGTAAATCCACAATACACTGTATAGGGCTTTTTGGGTTAGACCGCGTAGATACGTGATCTAACCCCACCAAAAACCCTATATTATGGATGATATTGGTCGCTAAAGTCTACGTGTTAAACTAAATCCACAACATTTACAATTTGAGCACGTTTCCCCAGTAATTACAACGAGCATCATCGGACAACCCTGGCTGTCGCCTAATAAGGATAGTTGTGATTACTGGCGAAACGTCGTACTCACATGGAAAACGTTGTGGGTTTACTCTCCAACGCGCCGGTGTTCTGCTGTGCTAGCAACGAATTGGCACGTTTTGTTTACGTGAAAAACCTTACTAATTGGCTGTGTCGGGTGGTGGCGGGTTTAACGACACATTTCAATTTACTCGAACCAACTCAAAAACCTCTATGATGGTGCATTTTGGTCGTTGTGAGTTATCCTGTACGAGTGGACACATACGGATGTCTTGAAATACAATTTTTGTTTAAGTGCGGAGAGGTGAACCCAACTTACCCCCTCTTCCTCCGGACAACTCTCGCCCCCCCCGCCAAATAAAATAAAACTTGACAACCTTCCAGGCCGCGACAACAAACAAAACCGCCGATTGCACAACACCAAAAAAACACGAGGGCGCATGCACATGCACGTGGCATTGAAATATTTATCTTGGTTTAGCCGACTTCCATCATCGACTCTGTTATGTTACACAGTGCGGGCACGACACCAAATTCAACACGCGGCGCAGAAATGCAAAACACTCCCAACTTCATCCGCAGCTCCAGCGGCCCGGTACAATTATAGCTCCGGGTCGCGCCCGTGCAAGTGGCAAGATTTTTGTTGTTGTTGTTGTTTAAAGAGATCGAGACGAGTGGATGTTTTCACTGCGAGGCTCACGTGTTTTGCCGGTCGGTAGGAACGGGAGACGAGGAGAGATGGGCGATTCCAGCCCGGGACAACCGGGGAGGGTTGTGGCGGTGGGGGGTGGCGGGCGACTCCGTTTCCGACGACTGGTAGACCGGCAGGACCCCCCCCCCCCCGTCTCTCTTTCCCCACGGGCGACGTCCTTGCGTCCCGCAATTTGCGTCAACAGGACAACGTTAGCACCCGTCACTTTTACACGCACGCGGTGGGGGGGGGGGCGGACTCGCATCGCACAACGCCGACGGTGCTCGCCGCACGCAACGCTGCTCACCGTGCCCCCGACGCGCAACCCGTGGGGGTCGTGCCGCACGCCGTGCCAACCACACGCGCGCCGCGCCGGTAACGGCTCGCACGTTTACAACCGATGGCATGCCGGCCCATCATCATCATCATCACCACCACCACCACCACTGCACTGCTTACACGCTCCTTCGGTGAAATCTCACGTTGTTAACTACTAGCACCACTAGTTTACTAACACAAAAAAAAGGCGCGATTTCAAAATCTCGTGTTCCGTGAACAACGCGCGAACCAGGTGGGAGGCGGGGGGTGGTCAGTACACGGCAGAGATCCGGTCTTGCCAAACACGCAGACGTCAAAGTCTGTGAATTACATTTAGCCATTCTAATCTAGTTCGATCAAGCAGTCAATCACGTAGCTCACGCCTAGCTATATTAAATGAGTTTTGCGTATGCACTGTTCTCCCCCCAGCCTCTGTAATTAACTTCGCAAAATTATCATGCGGCCACATGACGCCCTCATGATGGTAACGCGATCTTGTTTAAGGCCATCATTATGGTCCCGTGGTCCTGTGTAAGGCCCTCGTGAAAGTCCTGTGGACTTGTTTAAGGCCTTAATGAAGGTCCCGTGGTCTTGTCTTATTAATGCCTTCACGAAGGTCCACGGGTCCTGTGCAAGGCCTTCACGAAGGCGGCGTGGTCTTGCTGGTGGCCTTCAAGTACACACGGCCTTCGCGCTCCTCCACGCCGACCCCGAGCGCTCCCAGGAGGGGGCTCTGGGCGGCGCCCCGTCGCTCCAGCCTCCTGATGGCCTCCTGGTTCTCCACGTTCCCCTGGGTCAGGTTTCTCACGGCCAGCACGGCCCACTGCGCGATGACTGCCGTCGTCGGGGCCGGTGGTGGAGGCGCGAGGGCGCATCGAGCGGTCAGGGGTCAAGGAGGTCAAGTGGAAAACGTGTGCGTGCACGCGTGTCTGTGCGTGCGCGGAAGTGCAGTAGGCCGGACAGCGCGGGAGTCCTGCCCATGAGCAAAAGACAAACACAACAACATCATCATCATCATCATCCCTGTGAGGGTTGGAGACAAGCACAACATCATCATCATCCCTGTGAGGGTTGGATAAACTGGTTATTTCTCTCTCACTTTGACGTTCTAATTGATTGTAAAGTATTTTTAGGATCCACGCATTGAGTTGTGCATGCGACAAATAGATTATTAATAGTTCATGCTCCGGGATAACGATTTATGCTCCAGGCTAATGCAGCGAGAAAAACTGAACAAGCGAAACAGAACGAACGAGACAAAGACAACTGTTTGTGATTAAAACTTCAGACTGAACAACAACAGAACCTTCAACGCAGGGGTGCCCAAGGTTTTTGCTTGGACAGATGGATTGACGAACAAGCTAAGCCGCTGTGTGAACCACGGTGCCACCACTACTCCACAAACGTGAACCCTATCCGTGGCATTTAAAATAGCCACTGGGGAGACAGATGATCGCTACAACTACCTACAACTACCTCACCTGGTATGAAGGAGGTCGTGTACATTTGGAGTTTGCGCGTCTCTCTCCGTGGCCGCGTGGATTTTTCTCTGGGTCCTTCGGTTTTTCCCTCCACATTTTAGAATCGACGTCAAGCGTTTAGAGTATTTGGCTGGTAAAAATGTCCACACGAGAAGCCACTTTCTTGAGCTATTTGTGGCCAGGTCACTTCTGAAAAAGAGCTATATAGCTCAGTGGGCCTTACCTGATCAAATAAAAATAGTTTATTAGTTATATCCGAGCTATGGATGATACGGCTACTGTTAACATGCATAATAATGGCAAACAGTCGTTTTTTATTTATCCAGGAAATCCTCACTGGCTCTCAAGTGCTGTCGGTTGGATCGTGTGGATTTTCTTTGGGCACATTCCCACTTCCCCCGGCTTAAAAAACACCGCGTGAAAGAATGAGGAAGTGGCCAACGAGTCCAATGGAGGCCAAGACAAAGGTGCAGGGCTGCAACGGCCACCACTGGCGGAGAGAGGGGACATCTGTGGAAAAGAGTTTCACGGGCTCATCGGATTCCTGCAGTCCAAATAAAAAGATTTCGATAAAGAACAGGTTACCAGAGATGACTCGTAAGGAACGGAATTATGAAAACACTTTAATTTCTACAGCGGGAGCTCCCGTCATGTGACGGTTTGCACACCGGACTTGCAATCCAGAGGACACGCACCGACCGGATTATCCTGGCATGCGTGGCAGTTAAAGCAACGCTGAAAGTTTCTCAAATCCCACCGCCCAACAGCTTAAATGGGTGAAGCATGGTCGATCGGCAGGTCGCGCGCGATGGGGAAATCGTCCGGTCAGCGTGCATGACTCGAGCAAAAATACCCTCTAACAACTCCCTCGGGTGGAGGCCATTCGGCAAGCGGCGGCGAAATTTAAAAACAGATTTGCTTAAGGCAGGGCCCTCGTGGTCTCGAACAAAATCTCTGGGGTGATCTCGACTCTGAACGTCAACAGGATATTTGATGGTCCTGCAATGACAATTGGCTGCCCTTGGTAGACTCGTCCTCAATGCAAATAAAACAAACGAATGTTGTTTTCGAGGAAAGACGAGCCTGCAGCCTTCTCCTCTTCTGATTGTTTCTCCGGACTCTCAGCAACTTGAGAACCTTTTATTGCACGTGGCTATTTCTTTAGGACCACTTATTGTGTTTATTTTGTAGTCCTATTCAACCACTCATCCCGACGGGCACCGTTGGCTACGTACGGCGCGAAAGAAGTTCAACATACATACATACATACACACAGCAAGGGCTGCTCCTTTATCAATACCCTGTACATCACCCGCAATAGGATGCTCCAATCAAAGGGTCTGCTGGCAAGAGTGGAGTCTACCCGCCGCACACCCACACTACGGGCAGCTTCATGCAGACAATCAAGCGCAGGCACCGCAGATACACGAAGTCCCAAGCAGCACTCACAAACACCCAATAAAAAAGGCAGCCGCTACATAAAATGTGAATAATACCGACCCCCCCCCGCTACGCGCACGTGGACACACACACAGACACGCGGGCACGCCCACGCACGCACAAACACAACAACCAACGGACGCACGGGAGAGAGAAAAACCCAAAATACTGTGGAAATTTCACAATGTGAAAAACGGAAACATTGTTAACAAGCACAGGGGGTCACGATTCGGGTTGAATAGAGTGAGAGAGAGAGAAAAAATATATCCCCCAAAAAACCTGGGTCTCAATTTTAAATGCAAGGGACCCATTGAGGTGGCTCCGACCCCTCCCTTCCCCTCCCACCTTGTCATGGAAATTTGTGAAATGTAAAAAACCGTAAAAAAATGTACGTGCCGTGTTTACATTACGACAGCCTCCACATTACGACAGTCCCGAGTAGGGGAAGATCGCCCTGTCTGTAGGACGGGCCGACGTTAACTAATGCTCCTGCTGTATATTTGGAGTCTGCGTGTCTCTCACGATCATCATCATTATCATCACGGTGGCTAGGAGACATTAACTCCCTCACCTGGTATACAGGAGGTCGTGGGTTCGATCCCGACCCTGAGGTCTGCTGTATATTTGAAGTTTGTGTCTCACTCTCCCCATGATCACATGGATTTTTCTCCGTGTCCTCCGGTTTTTCCCTCCATATTTAGAATTGACGTCACATGTTCAGAGTATTTTAGCTGCTCTAAAGCTATACAAAAGTCACTTCGTTGAGCTATCATTTGTGTCAGTATCGCTTCTGAAAAAGAGCTATATGTAGCTCAGTGGGCCTTACCTGGTAAAATAAAAACAGTTTAATAGTATAGTTTAGAGCTAGATCGATGAAATTATAAACTGCAGCCATTCGCCACTAAGTGGCGGTGACGTCACTGCGGAGCTTGTGCCAGGCTAGGTGCACTTTGCGGCCAGGCTAGGTGGACTTTGCGGACAAGTGCACAATTTGTTTTAAATAGTTTAAGCCTCGTAGACAGGTGCTGTCATCGTGAGCACCTGTCAAGGCTGGAGCAGTGCACACGAGGGTGGTAATGGCCAGCACAACACCCATTAAACCTCCGCCTCCCCCAGTGCTCATGTCCAGACCACTGCCACTAGGCAACTCATTCAAGGCCGGGCCAACCGGGAAGAAGCGCAGAGGCAGGTTCGGACGCTTGCGACGAACCAGCGTACGAGACCCTGGGGGGCCGTGACTCTGGGGGGCCGTGACTCAGGTGGGCCGTGACTCTGGTGGGCCGGGGGTTCGCAGCACAGCGAATCGAGCCGGCACCGTAGGCCGTAGTCATCGGATGACGCAGCGAGACATCGATTGAGCCCTTGATAACATCGGCTGCATCGCGTGTAAGAATCATTAAAGAATCCGGCATGCGAATTACGTGCTAATGTTGCACGAAGCTTCAGTGATAAAACAACAAATCTTTTCACGACGAGGCAGCAATCAGAAAGAATACAAAGTCACAAAAATACAGAGAAATTTCAATTCTATGGTGCTTAAACGCTTCATCGCGGCGCTGGCCTGCAAATGGGTAGCAATTCACACAGAGACCCATAGACTCACACATATACCCATAGACTCACACAGAGACCCATAGACTCACACATATACCCATAGACTCGCACAGAGGCCCATAGACTCGCACAGAGACCGATAGACTCACTCAGAGACCCATAGACTCACTCAGAGACCCATAGACTCGCACAGAGACCCATAGACTCACACATATACCCATAGACTCACACAGAGACCCATAGACTCACACATATACCCATAGACTCGCACAGAGGCCCATAGACTCGCACAGAGACCCATAGACTCACTCAGAGACCCATAGACTCACTCAGAGACCCATAGACTCGCACAGAGACCCATAGACTCACACAGAGACCCATAGACTCACACATATACCCATAGACTTACACAGAGACCCATAGACTCACACAGAGACCCATAGACTCGCACAGAGACCCATAGACTCACACATATACCCATAGACTCACACAGAGACACATAGACTCGCACAGAGACACATAGACTCGCACAGAGACCCATAGACTCACACAGAGACCCATAGACTCACACAGAGACCCATAGACTCACACGTAGACCCATAGACTTACACAGAGACCCATAGACTCACACAGAGACCCATAGACTCGCACAGAGACCCATAGACTCACACAGAGGCCCATAGATTCACACAGAAGCCCATAGACTCGCACAGAGGCCCACAGACTCGCACAGAGGCCCATAGACTCACATAGAAGCCCCTAGAATCGCACAGAGGCCCATAGATTCACACAGAGGCCCATAGACTCGCACAGAGGCCCACAGACTCGCACAGTGGCCCACAGACTCGCACAGAGGCCCACAGACTCGCACAGAGGCCCATAGATTCACACAGAGTCACATCGGCTCGCACAGAGGCCCACAGACTCGCACAGAGGTCCATAGACTTACACAGAGGCCCATACTCACACAGAGACCCACAGACTCACACAGAGGCCCACAGACTCACACAGAGGCCCAAAGACTCACACAGAGGCCCATAGACTCACACAGAAGTCCATAGACTCGCACAGAGGCCCATAGACTCTCAGAGACCGACACTTAAGGATTTGCATATATAATGGATCGCGTACCCTCAACGTGTCCAGCAACAATGGAAAAAAAACTCAAAGCGCCCTAATTTGTAACTCATCTCAACCATTCAAATGCCCTGCTGCAGTCCAGCCAAGGGGAATCCCTCCCCATCTTCCTCAGCGGCAGCGGACCCTGCGTGGCACAAAAAGGTGTACACAGCACCGGACATTAGCCTGCCATTGGGAGAGAGACTTCGAGTGGAAGTGTGAAGACGAATCGCGACTATT